ACACCAAACTAATATAGTCCTAGACATAGATGACAATTTGATAAGTGAAATCTCAGAAAGACACAAGCTGAAAAAAATCCTTAAATACTTTTTCTTGCCTTTGAAACTGAAAAGTAGAAGGTAAAAGATTTATACTTCCCAAAATAGAGAAATGGAAATGGGTGCACTTCAAGATATTCTACCATTTTCTTTTTCTTTTATTAATTTTTATACTGATTTACACACATAATTATAGAATAAAATGGTTTGTTTTACCATTTTTTGTCACAGAATTAATTAAATCCAAAAGGTTATTGGAATTTAAATTTTGATAAAACAAAATTCAATTGCTAAAATGTTAGCATCCTGAAGGTGAAACAGCAAAGATGAAATTAGAAACAAAATCTGTTTTAGTCAAACAGATGGCAAAAGTACTTATGAACACCACTTAAAGTTTTTATTTATTTTCAAAATGTTTAAGGAGATCCTTTGGAAAATTGGTCTTATGTTCTCACAAATCTTGTTGTTGTTGTTTATGTAGGCTGTTGAGTAGCTTGCAACTCACAGCAACCCTATATACAACAACAGCTCTGAACCCTGCTCTACCCTGAGCCAACTTTATTGTCTTTGACATTATCTCCCATTGTCCCAGTCACTGAGTCAATCCATGTCATCCAGGGTCTTCCTCTCTTACACAGTCCTTCCACCTTCCCAAGAATGATGTTCCTCTCCAACGACAGCTCCCTCCTTGTAACATGCCCAAATTATGTCAAACAGAACTTCAGAATCCTTACCTCCAGGAAGTAGCTTGGTTTCACCCTCTCTAGGATGAACTTGTTTGTTTTCCTAGCTATCCATGGTATATTCGGTAGTCTTCTCCAGCATCACAGCTCAAAGGCTTCAAGTCTCCTTCTATAACCCTAGTCATTGTCCAGCTTTCTAAAGCATAATCATTAATTGCAAAGACTATGGCCTAGGTCATACATACCTTAGTCTCCAGGATGGCATCAGTACACTGGATTCATTCAGTACACTGGAGAGGTCCCTGACTGCAGACTTCACCAATGCTATTTATCTTTTAAGATTTTTAAAATTGCATTCACTATAGGAGAATTCATAGGCTCCTTTGAATTTATATGAAACTCACCCATGGTTGCAGCAGTTAAGTAATCAAAATACATGTTACATGGGGAAAAGTACTAAAGAGCAACAATTTCAGTTTAACAACTGAGATGTATCTGATGCAAGCCATGGATTATCAATTATTTGTATGTATCTGAAAATTGAGCAATGAATAAAGGTGATAGAAAAATAAATAACTTTGAATTGTGTTATCGTAGAAAACTCTGAGGTTTTTTTCCTACTGATTGAAAAAGAACAAAGTCTGTCTTGGAGAAAGTACAAGCAGGAGCTTCTTAAAGGCAAAAATGGTGAAACTTCATCTCACACACTTTGGGTATGTTGTCAGGTATGTTGGGCCAATAAAACACAAATAGATACCCTTCTGTTTTTCTCTACTTTCAGCCACAATCCATCTGACATCAGTAATGATATCTCTGGTGTCACAATCTCATCTAAAACTCAACTTAATCTCTGTATGTATACTATTCTAGTTAGTTTTGGATAATCTTAAACAATATTTTGCTTACATGAAATATTACTGATTATTATTGTTGTTATGTGTCATCCAGTCAACTGTGATTCACAGTGACCCTATGCACAATAGCTCTGAACCCTGCCATATCCTGAGCCAATCTCACTGTTTTCTGATTCCATTACACCAGTTATTGTGTTATTCAGTCTCATCCAAGGTCTTCCTCTCCTCGGAGATGGTGTGATTGGCACAGGACAGAGCGGAGTTTAGCGCTGTTGTACATAGGATCTCTATGAGTCGCAAGCGACTCGACGGCACATAACAACAACAACAGTTTTTTACAAAGTTCATATACATTGTTTTTCACACCAGATCTTTCTAATTAACAAATTAATTGTGTTATGTATATATGTTATGTTTAGAAACAAAATTTAATTTTATTTATCAGCAACCTGCATTATGCAGATGACACAACTTTCCTTGCTTGCTGAAACTGAGGTCAGCCTGAGGCTTTTGTTGCAGAAGATCAAGGCCTGCAGTCTTAAATATGGATTTAAGCTCCAAATCAAGAAAATAAAGATTAAAAAAAAATTTTAAAAATCCCTAACAATCCAAAGATTCTCACCACTAGGTCAAGTGGCAGCATCATGATAGACGGTGAAGAGATTGAGATCGTTAACAGCTTCAGTTTGCTTGGCTCCACAATCAACACTCTTGATATCAGCAGCCCGGAAATCAAAAGACAAATTGCTTTGGAAAATCTGCTCCAGAGAACTGAAGAGCAACCATGTCAGTCTAGACACTAAGGTACTCCTGATCGAGGCCATGGTCTTTGCAATTACCTGCTATGTATCAGAAAATTGTTAGAGATAATAGGAGACATGAAGCCTTTGAGCTGTAGTGCTGGAGAAAAGCATTAAATATACCATGGAGTACTAGGAGAACAAACAGGTTCATCCTGGAGAGGGTGAAATCAGTCTACTCCTTGGAGGCAAGGATTCTGAAACTATCTGACATACTTTGGACATGTTGCAAGGAGAGACCAGTCCTTAGAGAGGGACATCTTGATTGGGAGAGTGGAGGGACAGCACAAGAGAGGAAGATCCTCAATTAAATGGATTGACGCAGTAACTGGGCAATCAGAGTAGGTGTGTCAGAGACAATAAGGTTGGCTCCGAATAGAGCAGGGTTCTGACCTGCTGTACACAGGGTCGCTATGAGCTGCAAATGACTTGACTACACATGATGGCACATGACAACAACAATTTTCTTTTCATGTTTTAATGTTAAAAAAGTAAAAAAAAATATGTCTTTTTACTAATCAGTAAAATATTTCCATAGTTACTGAAAATAAATTTCACTGGACTTGTGAGAATTTCTGGGGATTTAGAAGCCATATTCAAGTTTTCACAGGTTTTCTGTATTTATAGGGTCTGCCATCTATCTTGCAAGATAGAGCATGATTCGAATCTGTTGTTCATAGTGTCACTATGAATTGGAGTCCACCCAATAACACCGAACAACCCATTTATCCTGAAATTCATCAAAAGGTCACAGAGAGTTGGAAAAAACTGATCAGTTTTTTGGTTAGATGCTTCAGTTGTGGAAAGAAACCCTGACGCAGCTAGCATTTCTAAAGACAGTTAAGAATTTCCTAAGACTTCTACCTCTCTTTTCTTTAATATAGTGGATTTTGCTATTATTATATTAGTTCTGTTTTATTATTTTAATTATTTTATAATAATTATTATTATATAATTGTGTTTAATTTTCTTCATTCTTGAGTTTTACTCACCATTGCCTTAAAGAAGAAAGTGAACGTTGACAAGCTACCTATTTGTCCTCCCTAAGGCTAACTCGAGGTCACTTCTATAGATTGTGTCTACTGCCACATATCTCAGAGGTGCTGAAAATTACTCGCAAAGGCCTTTCTTCCTTTTCCTCTTTTTTCTATTTTTATTTGTGCCAAAGTGAAAAATGGGATGATACTGCTCAACTTTTTGGACCACATTTGGACTAGCAGTCACTGAAACTTGGTGTAGGACAACATTAATACAATAATTTCTCCTAATGAAAACATTCAAGCCGGGATATAACCATGTCATTAGCACTTTTCTTAGACAGCATTCATTTCCATCTGTTCTGAGTTTAGAGCCAAATTCTCCTCCAGATAAATTTAGTAACTGTGGGAATGGATGAGTTGGATCTCAAAAAGGAGCCTCCTGGATAGGCTGTCAAAAGTGGAGAAAAACTGTCTTTTTTTTTTTTTTTTTTTTTTTTTTTAAACCTCTGCAATAAAAACCATGCTCAAAAAAAAGGAGATCTACAGAGGTGGCTGTGTAGAGAGCACAGTGCCCTTCCAGGACCTCGTCTTCCCCT